ATTCTTGAGCTTGATGTTTGTGTGTGTGCGTGTGTGTGCTTTTAATCATAACTCAGAAGTGCAGCTAAGGATAGGGGGCTTGAAGGGCTTGAACTGTTGTTTTTAAGGATAGGGGGCTTGAAGGGCTTGAACTGTTGTTTTTAAGGATAGGGGGCTTGAAGGGCTTGAACTGTTGTTTTTTTTTCTCGATGGCTAAGGATAGTTTTCAGATGGTTCTTAAGAATCTTAAACCACCAGTACTTGGCCCAGCTGTCGGCCGCGGGCCTTCCCCGTTAGCGCGCCGACACCTTCGGGGGTCCGCCAAGGGAAGGCTCTGTCGCTGCTTGAAGGTCGGGGCCCGGCACCATCGACATGACACAAATAACATGAACGAAAACTGAAAAAAGGAAAATGAAATACAAAAACAAAGAAAACACAGAAAAGGAACGGGCAAAAACAAAAAGACGCACAGCCACGCACGCGCGCGCGCGAGAGAGAGAGAGAGAGAGATGGCGACTCCCTCCCTCCCTCTCTCTCTCTCTCTCTCTCTCTCTCTCTCTCTCTCTCTCTCTCTCTCGTTCGCGCTGCAACAAAAGTTGAACGGTTTGTTTTGTCGTTCTCTTTTTTTTTACCTTTTGTTTCCTTCTTTTTGGTTCTTTTGTTATTTTCGTTTTCTTTTTTGACTTATTTTTGTCAGTGTGTGCGAGGGACCGATAGCGAAGAAGTACCGCGAGGAAATGATGAAAAGAACTTTGAAAAAGAAAACAAAAGAATGGCGTTTAGTTCATTTTCTTCTCTTTTTTGTCCCCCCTCTTTCCACAGAGGTCTGGGAAGGCAGCGCCCGGTAGTCCGAGCCTCGGCACGGCTTGGCATACCGGCCGGCCAAGGCTCGGACTCATTAGCTGGGCCAAGTACTGGTGGTTTAACCATTCTTGGAAGTCCTCTGGGACTTAACGGGCAGGCTTCAAAGATTGGATCTGGGGTAAGGAGGGTTTCGGTAGCACTTCAGCTAGTAAAGAGTTTTTTCAGACTACCGTAGCTTTCATTTTTTTTTCTTTTTTTCTTTTGTTTCTTTCGTTTTTTCAACACTGTATCAGTACTGGAACCGCTTAGCCTAGAGTTGATAACTTGATATCGAACATTGTATTTGTGACACTGTGACGTTTGGCTGTGCGATAGGGCTCAAACTGCTTATACCTTAAACCACCACTCCCTCCAAGCCTGTTTTTGCCGACCCTGAATTTCACAGCACTCCGAGTTTTGCTTGGCCCTGAATTTCACTGCGCTCCGAGTTTTGCCGCGGCTGGGTTCCACTGTATTTTCTTTATGGTACTCTCACAGGAAGAACATAGCTCAGGTAATAGATACGGGCGCCTTCGGCCTATCGATATTGAGAATCAAACAACGCCTTCGGCGCCTTCGGTCGGGGACCCGGCTCTTGCGAGCCCTTTGGGACGCGAAAAAAAGAAGGAGAAGAAGAAGAAGTAGAAGAAAAGTTGAGGCTGTAAAACTCGCAAAACAAGAAAACTGGAGAAAGGAAGCAAAGATCTGGCCCACGCGATTGCACTTGTATACATTTTCGGAGTGTGAGTGTGCCCTCGGTGAGGGCATCTCAGCCCCGTGGCCAGGTTGTCAGATTCCAGAAACACAAAACAAGAAAAGAAATTCGGCTTTGAAAATGGCTGGATACCTGCCAGTAGCTGCGCCTGCCAGACCCCCACTGGCGCCCCCAACCCTCTACCCTAAACATTAGGGGCAAGGGGCAACACGAAATCTCCCCTTCACAGTGAGAGGAAACTATGCTTGCAGGGGTCCCCTCTAGATAGCCTTAGGAGTAGGTAGTGGAAGGTAAACAAAAAAAACAGAAGTTGAGAGAAGAATATAGAAAGAAAAATGGAAACAGAAGTTGAGAGAAGAATATAGAAAGAAAAATGGCTGGATACATTCCTCTAAGTGCCAGTGTGATCAGAGGCTTACAATCCTCTCGAGGAATCACAGCTCGAGCAGATCACGGATTCAGATTGGCAGATTCCAGAAACAGAAAACAAGAAAAAAGAAACGAAAACACGGATTCAGCTGTGAAAATGGCTGGATACATTCCTCTAAGTGCCAGTGTGATCAGAGGTTTACAATCCTCTGAGGAAACACAGCTAGGGCAGATCACGGATTCCGCCCTGCCTCGTTGGCAGGGGACTCGTAACAAACAAACAAGAAAGAAAAAGGAAAAAAAGTTTCAGAATGTGACCTTCTTTGCTGTAAGATGCATTCTGAAGAGGAAGACTGAGCACAGCCTCGTCGACTACCCCGCCCGGCATCATTACAGTACAGAAAAAATTTTCGTTTCGCCTTTCACTCCTGGGCAAAAGAAAAACTCAGATTTATGGAACTTGCCGAACCTGGGTCCCACTCCCTTCAGCATCGATGGGACCAACCTTGGCTAAACCTCGTAATTCCAAAAAAAAAAAAAACAACGTAATTCCCCAACACTGGCTGAGTTTTTTTTTATAGGCGGATCGATGGAACCAACCTCATTCCAAAGTACTTATGTCAGTCCAGTACTTTGGTCACGAGTCCTGTTTGGGAGTACTTTCTAGTCCGCCGCGTTTTGTTTCGCTACCAGTAGACTAGTAGGAAGTTAGTACTCGCGACTATATTCCTGGGAAGCTACGCTGTTTCTCCGCGCGCCTGGGCACCCAGCTTGTGCCCGGAAACACGCCTGGATGCCCGGCAGGGCATGACCCCTAGCCAGGGTTATGGGCAGCCCCAGGCCAAAACAAAAAAAAAAACAACAACAACTTCCGAGGAAAAAAAAATAAAATGTTAATGTATACGTCAGTAGTGCACATGATCTGGCCACGCAATCGCCCTGGAACCGTAAACTTTTTCTGTATAAAAAAAGTGGTCCGTTCCACCAAGAGTCCATTCGATGGTGACCTAATTTACTGGAGTCTTAGGTTACAGAAACATGTGCATATGAGACGCTGGCCGCAATTCCGCTGGCCGCAATTCCCAGCCCATGGCGGGCGCTCATTCTACTAGTCAACCGCCTCCAGGGTCACACTGCCAAGGTTGAAACTGGGTCCAGCGTCCCATAACACCTGCACAACAGTTTTTTTCTGAAAAGCCGATCCAGCGTCCCATAACACCTGCACACTCAGAACCGAATTTTGCTGTGTAAACCTGCGAGCATTGCTTGCCAGGGACAATGGGGATTTGACTGTACAAGTACTGTCTTTTTTTTTTTTCTTTTTTTTTTTTGACTGTACAAGTACTGTCAAAAACATTAAAAAATTTAAAAAAAGACAAACAAACCAGTGCTGCTCCACCGGATGGACCGGGGGGTCATCCTTGGACCGGGAGCCACCCGGTCGGACCGGCCGGTGCACTGGGCCGGCAGGCTCCCGGTTCGATCCAGCGCACTGCGCTGGGAGGGGGGTACAGGGGATTTTTAGGTGTCCCCGTGCCCACCCAGCCTCAAAGGCCCCCGCCACCGCCCAAAAAAAAATTCGGGGCCTGTAGGACCCCGCATTTCGACAAAAGCGCGCGGTGGATCTCCACCGCTGATCTTCAGAGATCAGCGTTGGAGATCCACCGCACGCTTTTGTCGAAATTCGGGGTCCTACAGGCCCCGATCTTCAAATTCGAAAACGCGGCCGATTTTGGCCGCTGATCGGCAGATCGGCGGTCGAAATCGGCTGCGTTACGAATTCGAAACGCAGCCTGTGGGCCTTTCGAAATGAGCCCGTGTGCTCACGCCCGCCGCGACCCCGCCTGCATGGGCTATGTGCTGAGGAGGTCGACGTCGCGCTCATTCGAGCGGACGTCGACTTCAAACTCCAGCCCCGCCAGCCCACCATTGCCCCCGCATGAGCCCACCCTCGGCTTCACCACTGACATAGCCATGCCGCGCGCCCCCCATCACCGCCATACCCATACCGGTAAGTTTAGGTTTTCTTTTTTCTTTTTGGTTCTTCTTCTTCTTTTCTTCGTATTCTTCTTTTCTTCATCTCCTCCTTTTCTTCATCTCCTCCTTTTCTTGATCTTCTTCTTTTCTTCGTCTTCTTCTTCTTCGTCTTTGGCTCCTTCTTCTTTCTTTTTCTTGTTCTTCCTGTTCTCCTTGGTTCTTCTTCTTGTTT